GACCTCCCAATGACAAGCATTATAAACCTTGTCAATGGTTCTAAATGGTTGTAACCCTTGAGTTTTTAATTATACAGTAACATAATAGTGGATCTCTTGGAATCGCTGGTATAATCTACCTACCTACCTGGTAATGAGTATGATGTGTCGTTTTAATATGATTTTAGTTTAAGTTACGTTTCATGAAATTTTATCTATGAGTTATTTATTGTAAAGTTATATATATGGTGGGACGTTGGGACAGCGCACTGTCAAACAAGTGGCCCCACTGAAGTGAAGGATTAGTCGAAGTAGACTTCGATTCTCGGATGTTGTTATTGAGTTAAAGCTGGAGTGGCTTCCGTTCGCATAAGTACATCTTTTGTTAATGCAAGCAGCTCATTTAGCTTGAGGTTTCCTGCCAAGTCGTCACCAACCCAATGGTGTCCCAAGACAGTCTTCCTCCTACTTGCCAGTGCTGGATATTGGCACAATATATGCACCGCTGTCTCCTTTTCTTCTAGACATAGTCTGTAAGTGTCTTCCTCAGCAAGAGTTATGTTTTTGGGGTGATACTTGAAGTTGCCATGTCCAGTAATTAGTGAGGTCAGCCAGCTTAGGGTGCTCCGCGAATAGCTAAGCACCTTTATCGCTTCTCTGACCCACGGTATTGGTAACATGAGTTTGGTCTGTCTACAAGTGCTCAACTCTCTCCATCTATTAAGATGAAGTGAGGTTATCTACTTATAGACATAGGCTGCCGTCATGCTATACCCCAATGGTATTCTGGCCTCCTGGCCACAGAAATTATGGCTTGATCCTTGCTTTGCAAGTTCATCTGCCTTCTCGTTTTGCTCAATACCGATGTGTCCTTTAACTATTGTAAAGTTAGTTTTTTTTGTTTAATATCTAAAAAGTGCATTTATAATAAGCGTGTATTTTGTAAATAAAGATACATGCTCATGATCTCTTTAATCTGTTTCATTATCGATTGTACTATTAAATCTGACTTATGTGAAAGTACATATGTTCTATTAAATCAGACAAATTGTCTTCAATGTACTTTGAAGTGGTTTGTTTTGAGATAAAAAATAGTTGTAAAACCTAAATTGTTGGTATTTTATTTAAATTTATTTATATTGTAAGTCTTATCATGTAAGTGGTACCACAACGGGCCATTATTTGTGTTCAGGTGGGCTATCTTGGATAAAAAGTCGTTGTTCCAACCTTACTTAATCTAAGTCATGACTAGTAGACTAAGTACCGATTTTATTCATTAGATTTTATAATGTACTTTTCTTATTTATTAAGAATAAAATATTATTTTTTAACCAAAAACAGATCTAATTATTCAGATAAATTTTTTTAAGGAGGTTTCTTTTCTTTTCACAATAGTTTGTATAAATCATTGTAGATGACGTTCCTTTCCAAATTCAAATCTATTTATTTTTATTAACTCAAATGTTTAAATTTTACTTTAAAAAGATTTATTCACCATTCGGTTAAAGCTTTTGAGATATTTTATTAGCTTAAAATTATGCAGTATCTTTTTATTTCTGCTTGAATATGTTAAATCTATTCTTTATGTTGAGCTTTTTGCGGGTGGAGGGCGTGCAATATTCGGGCAGCTTGAGCTTGTTTGTCATGTTGATTAGATGTATCTCAATCTAAATATTGTTAAACAATTTATCACACACTAAACAAAAAATTCTAAGTTAGTTTATTAGTTTATTAACTAAAATAACGTATAATTTTGCAATTAAACGATTAAAGACCAACAATCAAATTTGTAACCTGCCACTTGTTTACATTGAATGCGTCGTCCGCCTCCTTCTTAATTCAGTTAGAAAAATTTGAGCGATTGTAAATTGTATCTGAAAAGTCTAATGCACTTGAATTATTTAACTGAGCTGCAAATAAATTTGCCCTTGAATGCAGGCAGTTTTCTACTATATAAGCAGCGTTAGTCAGTTGGGTCACTCAACCGGATCAAACTCAACTCAAATGCAGGCTTAAAATATTTGCGTTTCGCACAAGATAGTTTTGAGCTTACATTAAAGTATCTAACACTTTACGCGGCAATTGACTTTTGAGGTAAATGCAGTTTTATTGTTTCGTATACTATTAAGATCAATGCAAATAAATAACAACAACAGCACCAACAACATGCAAATTTGAAAATATCTAATTTGTGTGTCAAAATAAATAATAATCTTGTTTAGAATAAATTATTACGGTTATTATATTTTTATTTGCAGTCTCAAAAATAATTATTTACGAATAATTAAATACAAGAATTATTTCCAAGACCACTGATGTTGGGTATTTAACAATACTCGAAACAGCTGTATGGTCAGTCAAAAATTCAATTAATTAAAATAATATAAAAAATAAAAATTTTTGTTCTTGTAGTTCACTACTGTTTGAAAAAACCTCTTTATTTTATTTTAATTAATTTTGAATTAAAATTTAAAAAAATTAATTAAAATTTTAGAACACTATAGTAAGACATTCTAATCAGTGAAAACTTTATACTCGACTAGTTCATTTGGGTTCATGAATTAAAACTTGTTAATTTTGTTAATTTTTGAGTACCAAACAAGGTAAACAAGCAATTAAAGTAAAAGGTTTTTTATTTATTATTTTGATTTATGACTTTTCAAAAAGTATATTTTTATTTATTTTAGTTTTTTTTTTAATAATTTTACGAAATTACTGAATAATAATCTATTTAACTGAAGTATCTTGCAATATCAATCCAAAGTCTTCTTTAGTACTAGTCTGTGTCTATGAGTTAGTATTTGCCAAACTGATATCGTCAAATATTTCATTTATTCGCATATCAGAAGTATTTCGCTTTATTGCCTATTAAAATGGGTGAAGTGCGCATTCGGATTATCGTTATCGGTTCTGAAATGGGTTTAAAAATGGATTAATGCCTCATTTTAATTATAGACGTTGTACAGTGGTTATAAATTATGTATTTTACTTATTTTGAGTACCTGTTATTTGTTAGGTTTTTGTAATTGGTAATAATTAATTTTAAATGAAGTGCCTCTTAATAAAGGTACTAACTTTTGAAACTCTGAAGTAGTCAAGATTACCTATGGTGAAAAATTATTTATTATAAATGTAAAGTTAATGGTTTTCAAACATTTTTACCTAAAATGGTTAAAAATTTAATTCAAAATATTTATATGAATTTATTTTTGATTATTTGAATAAAAAGAAAAGGATATTAACAAGATTTTCTTACTCTTTTTTTGCTACTTTAATCTATTTATTAGTATACATATAATTGTTAATATAGTTTTCTACTTTTTCTTCTAATTTGGCACTACAGTCCAGTGTCCAACCTGCCTCCATCTGCTTCGATCTTGTGCAGTTGTTTTCCAATTCAGAATTTCCAGCTTTCTGGTGTCCTCGTACACGTTTTTCTTCCATCTCAGCTTCGGTTTGCCCCTATGCCTTGTTGCGGTATATTTCATACAGCTCATCTTTCCATCTCATTCGATACTTGTTGTCAACACGTAAGTGACTATAGATCTTCCTGTGAATTTTTCTGCTCTTAATGCTCTTAATACCTTCCTTTGACTGTTGGTAATTGTCCAAGCTTCTGCACTATACAGCACGACAGTCACGATAAGAGACTTGTAGAGCGTGATTTTTGTTGGCCGAGAGAGGGATTTAATTTTCAATTGCCTACTTAGTTTGAAATAATATCTTTTGGCATTTTTGGTGTTTATGCTGGTTCCCAAATAAACAAAGCCTTTCACAACTTCGAATTTATAATAGTTTAAAGTAACATGTTGTTTTTTGATAGAAAGTACTTTGTTTTGTCCCTATTTATACAAGACCTTTTTCCTTCGCTTGTTTTTCTAAGTTGGAAATTGTGACTGACGGCGCGGTTCTTCAGGCCAATGATATCAATATCATCGACATACGCATATTTTACTTTTGTAGAATATTGTACCATTGGGGTTTAAAATTGTTGCTCAAATTATCGTTTCCAACATTATGTTAAAGTAGTCACACATCAAGGAGTCATTCTACAGGTATTGTCGAGATACTTAAAATTGGTTTAACGATCTTAAGTTTCAGCTTTTGCTAATAGGTCTAAATAACATATTCAGTTGGAACATAATATAAGATCAACATATCTTTGTACAGTAATATAACTCACGCTGATTTGTTTTAATACGGAGCTATTTATCTTTAGCGTATCAATGTCGCTTTTAAACCTAAGCGAAGCACCGTTTACATAGGAGTTAAACTAAGTAGGATTTTGTAAAAATCGAGAATCGAACGAGAATCTATCGACTTACAGATTGGTATTTCACTTCAAATATTACATTGCCATTCATCTGTTTTATTATATTTAAAGGATTGTATTAAGAATCAACGATCATTATCAATGAACCTTTAAGTTCCGGGACTTCAAAACGGAATTAAATTTGTTGGAATTTATGATGGGGCTTCACAATGGAGGTAAATTTAGTCATTTTTTTTTAGATAAAGACCATACACCCTAGCTGAAAGTTGAAGTCCTTTATTTTTTAACATTTAAAGGTTTATATTGAAAATGTAATCACTTTGATATAATCGGAATATTGAGATCCATTTTCTAATATCATTTAAAAATATATAATATTTACATTACTTTTGTTTTTTGTCAGAAACAATATTTGATTTGCAGTGACTTCACTGTACCTCTAGATTGACGAAATAATAATTTTCTTTTAGATACTTTGAAGGTTTAAGACGTTATTTAAAAATATATGTGCACTAATTTTAGTTATTTACGAATAAAAAATTGAAAAAGAATCATAAATCATAAAAATCATTTCAATAAAAGTCATAAAAAATGCTTTCTTGCAAAATTTTGGTTTTGCCGAAAATGATTATCCGATGTACGATTAGAAGCGTGTTAAATCTTATCAGATTTGTAAATAACTACTCTTCGATAAGTTAAAACCCATATTTTAGTATAAAAGTCATGATTTGTCAAAAAATTAGAGTAGTGCTAATAAATTAGCAAATAAAGGAAAATCTTATTCTCACCAAGAAAAAATGAAATTCGTACTTGCAATTTTGGCTGTATGCCTTTTAACTGTAAATATTAAAAGAAATCAAAATATCTATCGGTTAAAGTTTCTAATAGATTTTTCTATACATAGGTCAATGGTGCAGTTGTGAACTATGAAGGTCTCGTAAATGATATGATCAATGATGCTAAGAATTCAGCTATACAAACTGGAGTTGCATTGGAACATCAATATGAAAACATTGTTGTAGATCCTTTGCATCAAGTTGAGGAAGCCGTTGATAGTATTGAGTCCCGTCGTGAAGAGAGCGATACCTGTGTAGCTGCTGAGAATGAAGTAGTTGAGGCTGTTGTCAACACCATGCATGATGAAATGAATGTATGCGGTATTGTCGCTGCTAAAACTTCTGCTGAAATAATGATTGACGTTAATGCTGCTACTCAACAAATTGTTTTCGATGGCATAGACGTTGCAAGAACTTACCAAAAATGCAGAAACTACAAGAATCCAGTACTTAAAAACTCCTGCTATGTTAAGTTGTCAGTTAAGGGTGGCTTATACATGAAGAATGCACGCAAATCCATGAAAGTCATTAATGACAGCAAAAACGTGCGTGTACCAGCTGTATTCACAGATGCTGACTCCTGCACCCATGTTGCTTCCGATAAGGCCGTCGAGGATTTGAATAATGTACACACCAGTATTGACAGTTGTATTGTTAAAATGACTGCTTAATCTGTTTGATTTGTCATAATAAATTAATTTGATAGCGAATTTTTTGTACCATAAATAATTTTTTTCCATTAATCATGGATATGATCGCAGCACTTATATTTGAAAAGTTAAGATTCTTATTACTATTCACGAAGTTTATTCTATCTTTCTTCTTCCCTAAGCATATTAGGGTGTGCAAAGTCCAATAAACATTGTAGTATTCGATAATTTATTAAACTTTTATTGCCTTCAACATCTAAAACTAAATATTCTCTATATTCTGTCTTTCTTCTGCTTCATGCATACTAGGGTGAGTAAAGTTCAACAACCATTGTAGTATTGGATAATTTATGAAACTCTTTTTGTCTTTAACATCTAAAACTGAATATTTTGTGTATTCTGTCTTTCTTCTGCTTTAAGCATACCAGGGTTAGTAGAGTCCAATAAACATTGTAGTATTGGATAATTTATTAAACTCTTATTGTCTTCAACATCTAAAACTAAATATTCCATATATTCTGTCTTTGTGCTTCTCTAAGCATACTAGGGTTAGTAGTGTCCAATGAACATTGTAATGTAAGATATTTAATGGAATGTTTTCTGTATTGTCTTTAACATCTAACACTGAATATTCAGCAGCAACTATAAAAAAATATTCTACGAAAATGACAGTCATTATTTACCTATTATTTTTGCTTTAATTAACGAAGTGATCACAAAATATTCATTCTAACGCTTTTAAGCTCATTTCAAAAGATTCTTATTAAATCTGAGTTGTATAAATAAAAAACTGACTCATTTAATTCTGAACACTCCGAGTTTCTTCAAGCGTTAAAAGCTTCTAACTCAATTACTAACAACATAGACTTAGACATGTCAAGCCACTAAGCTTGGCTTTTAACAACTTATAACGTAAATAAACTAAATAAAATGATCAAAAATATTATAATTTTATTTCGAGTTTTTATTTTTATTCTATTTTACGAACGCAACTCTAAGCCAGTTTTAGAGAGTTTACGATTCTGACTCTGACACTGAGCGCTTGATCTTGCCAGCAACCCGCAGTCGCGACTTAAACTTTATGGCAAACGGTCATAAATTCTTTTATATAATTAATTCAGTTAATTTTATATAAAGTAGTACTACGTGATTTATATAAATTCGATTATTCAACTGTAAGGCAGTAATTTAATTAAGATAATAATTATTTTAAATTAACAAATATTGAACTTAATTAAAATTTAAACATTTGCAGCTGTGATTAAAGATAAGCAAAATGACAATATACGGCATAATTGTTCAAATTATTTTAATCTGTAATTAAAATTAAAATTATTTCTCATTTATTTGAGTATTTTTATATAAATTGATAAATAAAATTGCAAATATGACAAAATTTAACTCAATTTTGAGCAAAAACGCATTTCCATTTTTGGAGCAAAATTATAATGAGGAACCCGAGGAGGAACTAGTCACAAAGGTAAATTTACAATGTAATTAGATGTGTAATTATTTTATATTTTGCATAAAAGTATTAATTATAATTAATTAAGCGTCAGGCAATTAACACTGCGACAATTACATTTACATTGCTGCGTTCTTTTAGATATTAGCGTTAAGGTGTTAAGTGTAAGGTAAATATTATTGTTATAAACAAAAACAAAAAAAAATATTTACAAAATTGATTTGATTCAGAAAATAAATATTTTTGTTATAATAATATTTAAAGAACCAGAAAAAATAGTTATAATACTTCAACAAAATGTTTGCAAAATTATTTTCAAGACAAATACTAAAAATAGCATTTAAAAAATAAAAATTATTAAAAATTATATTATGACAAATAAAGTTAACAGAAATAATTTATCTAATAAATTTTAAAATATTTGAAATTAAAAAAAAATTATAATTTTATTTTTTAAATAAACGACCTAATCCCGGTAATAAACAAAAAACTTGTTGCAAATTGGTAGTAATAATAATTAATTAGTAATTAATTAATAATTAATTAAAAATTAATAGTTTGCAAAAATAATTTAAAGTTAATAACATATTAGAAAGTAAATCTAAGTAAATTTATAATATTCGCCAGGGTCGTCACTCCACCCGGCAATACAGTCAAAAATATTAATATTTAATATCTAATAACTAATTTAATATATTTCATTTTAATACTTAATTGCTTATTTTACATTAATGGGTTTGAAAGTTTTGGTAGTTTAGATACAATTTTTTGGAAAGCCTTTCACGGAGCTTAATTTGTTATTAGTAAGCACAATATTAGTAAGGCAATGCTTGATCTCATCACTAAAAAACCGATTGCCTTCATTAGATTTATGTCAATATCTACTTTTCACTTCAATATGTGTAATCACCACTTTCTTACAACGTTAAACAACTCAAGCGTTTGGATAGTAATTGGAAGATTCGATATCAACGGGAGATGTCTGTATGCTGGGAGGTTTCCTACAGAGATCTGCAGATTACATATATAAATAAATTAAATGTTGACAAACTCTTCCGCTGTTAGAAATGCAATTTTTATGTGCATATTCTTCGCAAACGCAGAACACAGTTATTTAGGATTCAAATCTCTTAGTGGTTTAAGTAAACTATATAATACGAAGCTTGTTCGAAACAAACGATTAGGCTTCTTAGAGACTCGAATTGGTTTGAAGATTAATTTTCCAATATAAAAATAGAGAATTTGTGAACTATACCATAATATTTTAATGGCTCTTAGTTATCTGATAGTTTTCCAATAGTATTATAATATTCCACTCAGTCTAAATAGATCCTACTAATGGTTAAAGTGATGTTTTTTAAAATAATTCAAAATAATTAAATAAATTTAACTTTTCAACAAAAAATTTAAAAAATTTGAAAATGTATTATATTTGATAATACTTTTAATATATTTCAGTGATGTAAACTCTATTCATTATTATGATTATGCACCCATGAATTCACGTATATAGCGTTCATTGTCGGCGTAAGTATTTATATAAACGTTTCCAGTGTTTGTAATTCGTGCAAAATCAATATTAAAAGATTTGAATTTTTCCCAACCAATTATGTGTATCATAGTACGAAAAGCTAATTTCATTCCATTCTTAAAGTTCAAGTTGAGTTTGTAGTGTTTCATCATATATGCCTTTGCTTCCTTTTCTTTAGGACCAATTGCAGTGTAACAAATAAGTCTAAATGAGGCACCTCTGTTTATATGCCATAATCCCAATGTACCAGTTGAATTTTTTGAAGCCATAATTATCGACAAATGTTGAGTGTTTATTTTTATATACTCGGATATATATTTAACCAAATCAAGTACAGAATCGGTTTTTTCACGTATAAAATGGATAAATCTATTTATGTCAGGAATTTGGTTATTTGGACCACTTACTACGCACATTAGCTGCTTATCGATTTCCCATACTTCATGGCTATTGCATGGAATATCTAGTAAAGTATCAACGCCTTTCTCAATAACCAAGATAATACCTGTAAAATAGAAAATTATTATTAGTTGCTAGAAATATACGTATGTGAAATGTGTGACTTACCTTCAATCGTATGTATACCAATCGCATTTGTACCAGCTAAAGATGATAGTTTCTTATAATAAGAATTCATTATTATCAGTGAGGATTTCTGTTCCTTAAATTCTTTTTAATTTTGTTAAATTATTTTTTTTTCTGGCAAGTTACTGCAAATATATTTTTTGACATTGTTAATATAATGGCTATTTATTTCATTTCTAAACTTCAATTATGAAGTATTGACTGTTATCATTAAACTAAAATTATTATCAATCACATAATATTTAATATTAAATGTTTATAAACTTGTAGAATTATATTTAATTTTTATTTAAATAAATTTATTTTTGGTACATCTTTCTTTGACTGTTAATAGATGAAAGACCCCACAATGTGAGATCAAAGTGTGAAATGACATGTTAAATATACCACTATTTGCATTTTTTTTTTGACGTCAGTTGCATAGAAAGTGATACCAAGTCCTATAACCGTTCTATTCTAAATACCATATATTTCATTATTATGACAATATGTGTGTATATGCATCCTTATTACACATTTTCATAAATGAAAATATGTATGTCATATGTATGTCATTATTTTTAACTCACAAATGAAAAAATAGAAATAGTTTAAATGTTTTATTAGTTGGGGTCCTTATATGTAGAGCGACTCGGGCACGTCAAAATTGGCTTTTTCACGTTATGCCGAAAATGCATGTTATGTAGACTGTCACATCAGTATTGCCAATTTCGTATTTTTACTCCTTATTGTTACTTTTCGGTTGTGCCTAAATTTAAAAGGAAATGTAGATATGCTCACTTACAATTTGCTACCAAAAATAACCAACATGAAATAAGTCATAGAGGCTATATAATGTTAATTCATTATTATACCTATTATCTTATAATAATTGTTAACAGTACTTACAAAATTACATGCCTTAAAATCCGAAGGTGTGATAATTACGGTTTATAAAATAGGCTGTATTGCTTACTGCCAAAACGTACGTTCTCCAAAACGTATTGAGATTGGAGCACTTTGCTCCTAAAAGGCTCAAATTCTGAAATGTATTACTAGACAACACTGCTTTGTCTTAGTGACGAAATTTACGCCGACTTTCATGCCGGAATTTGAACCAACATATTGTTTTTTCTCTCAATTTCAATTTTATAATTTGCATTGAAAATAACGATAATTTTACTTATGCTGCACCCGAGACACTCTACATAACTTGGCTCTTCTACCGTAGTAATTAGCGGACCTCCTCAAATATACTATACTTTCGATAAGTGTTGCTAAAGCAACATTAAAGGGAATAGCAGGAATAGGAGAATTTTGATATTTGACATAAACGTAGAGGAATTCCTGTATCAGTTGATAGAATCGTTATCTAATTATTTAATATTCCTATATGTGCAACTAAATAGCCCATAGTCAACTATATAAACCTAAAAGAAATTCACCAAAACTTCGTTTTATCTATTCTATTTTCTCCTATATAAATTACTTATAGATTAC